CCATGGGGGGAGGCCATGGGGGAGGCCATGGGGGGAGGCCATGGGGGACAGGCCATGGGGGACAGGCCATGGGGGGCAGGCACAGCATGGGGGCAGGCGATAGGGCAGGCGATGGGGGGAGGCCCAGCATTCCGAGGAGCCTGTGTAAGCCAGGGGCTGACCCCCCCAGGGGAAGAGCGAGGAGCTTGACTGTAAAAGGATCGGGAGACAGAGGGAGGAAAGGGGGCTGAGTCAGAGGACAAGGAGACAGGGGAACGCGGGAACGCGGCCTCCTTGGAGAGGACTGGACTGAAGAGAGAAGCCAGAGAGGAAGTGAGGAAGTGCTTTCTCTTCAGCAGCACAGGCAGTGAGCAAGCAGTCTGGGGGAGAGGAGCAGGCCAGGCCAGGCCGGGCAGCTCAGCGGTGAGTTCGATCCCCGTCCACGCTGTGGAAGGAGCGAGCGGCCCGGTCAGTGTCCTCTGACCTAAACATGCACACGTTAAAGGGGACAAAGCTCAGAGAAAGACCCTGCCTCCCCTCCCCCTGGCGCCCCAGAGTCAGGGCGGGAGCTGGGGGAGGGGCAGGCGTGGAAAACATGAATCTGCTGGAATCGGAACCCCTGCAGACAGGCCAGATGGAGCCTCCGTCCTGGGTGACGACCCCGGAACCTTCCCGGAAACCCACAGTCCACGTAGCCCACGCTCTTATCTCGATCCGGGGAAATCAGGGCTGAGTGATTTCAACAGCGGGGAATTTCGGGCTCTGCCCATTTGATCTGGCCCTCCCAGCTGACCAAAGGGTCAAAGGTTAGAAGAGAAAAACGAGGCCAATGCGGTTTGGGGGTTCTAGAGGGGAAGAGAAAAGAGAAAGTGACACAAGCTTGTGACTCAGGTCAGCTTCTGAGAAGGGTGTCCCCAAGAAGGCCAGGAGAGCAAGGCCCGCCTCCTCCAGGAAGCCCTCGGGAGCTGCCTCCCGGGTGTGGATGTACACACGTCTCCCCTTGTCCAAGGGCAGACCACGGGGGCATGACAGGAGGGGAAGGGGTCACGGTCAGGTCTGTCTGCGTTTCAGACCGTCTAGGCAGCCCTAAGTCATCAAACAACAGACGGACGGAAGCCCGTTCTGCTGGCTGCGCCTTGGCTCACACGCATTTACTTAGTTATCATAAGCACACATTCCATGTGCTGACAGGCGTCACAGCGAGGACGGAGCTGGAGGACAGCGTGGGAGTTTGTTCTTTCCATCACGTGGGTCCTAAGGACTGAACTCAGGCCGTCACGCTTGGCGCTTCTGCCCTCTGAAACGTCTCTCGGCCGGCAGCCCGGGTTCAAGAATCCACCACAGATTCCAGCATCTCTCTCCAGGGTTCTGGCCACGGGGACACACCCGTCATCCCAGCACTCGGGACACTGAGACAGGAGGACAGGGAGTTCAAAGCCAGCCTGGGCTACACGGTGAGACCCTGTCTCAGAAGGAGAAGGCTGGTCATGCCGACTGTTCTAGCACTAGGGCAGAGGCAGGGGGACCGCTGTGAGTTTGAGGCCAGCCTGGCACATACATCGAGTTCCAAAGAAGTCAGGCCTACCTGGAAGGAGTCTGTTCACACCAACGCAAAAGGAGGAAGGAAGAGAGTCCCAAACTCTCCACTCCCCAGGAATGTCCCTGCCCACCTCCACCCCGAAGCACAGAGCCACCGTCCCGCTCTCCTAGGCCAGAACAGAACTTCAGACCCAAGTCAGGATGGGGCCGCTTCTGCCCTGGCAAAGGCCAACTGCAGAAAACGGGGGGGGGGGGGGGGACAAGAAACATGGCGGCTGGAGGCCGAAGGTTATCCAGCTTCCTGGTCAGAATGCCTGGGACCCTGGGCCTTAGGTCCCCCTGGCCACTGAGGGGGCAGGCGGGGGGCCGGGTCTGGGCTGGGCCTCCTTCCCAGAGATGGCCTCTCCCTCCCAGCAAGGGGCTCCCTCGGGTGCCCAGGCCACAGATGAGAAGAGGGAAACGCCGACCAGAGGCTGAGTTTCCACCGAGTCTCCCTCTTCTCCTCGCCCCTCCCGCTCCCAGCTGCGGGAGGGTGCCGGTGGCCGTGAGAAAGCCCCAGCCGGTTGCCCTGGTACCCGGTGACTGAAAATCCGAACAAACATCCTGCTGCCGCCCACCTAAGCTTCCAGGCCGCCCGTCTCCATGGATACTGCCAAGCCAGCCGGCACCTACACAAAGACAGGACCCCAAGGCCAAGCTCCCCCTCCTCGCCCCACGAAGACAGGACCCCAAGGCCAAGCTCCCCCTCCTCGCCCCACGAGGCCACCTGGGCCTTCCCAGCCGCATGACATCCAGGGTGGCCAGGGCGTGGTCTGTCCTCCCTCGCAGGGCCCAGCCGGGTCCTCTCATGGCTGCCCTAGTGGCCACTCTCAAAGACGGGCTGGGCTGTGGCTCCCTGGGAGTCTGCCTAGCGTCAGGGTCCCCGGTTCGAGCCCCTGCACTGCACAAACTGTGAGGTGGAGACAGCGGATCCGAATCTCCGGGCTATCCTTAGCTATATAGCAAGTCCGAGGCTAGCCTGGGCTGCATGAGCATGAGGCTGCCCCCAAACTATAAAAGACTCTTCAGTCATTCTTCTTCCCTGGGACCACGATGGAGTAAGAACGGAACCCAGAGGGGGTGTCCCGTCTCTCTCTGTCCCTGTCCTGCCAGCTCGTGTCTCCACCCGGGGAAGGACTCCTCCGAGCGGTCCTCGGCCTCAGGAGCACACGCTGTCCCGCAGAGGACACAAGCTGCCCCCCACGATGGACGGCACACAGCTGACTGTAGCTCTGGCTCCGGGGCCCCGGATTTCCCAGCCTTCCCGAGCACACGCCACAAATGGACACACACAGCTCTGAATGAGGCCAGGCACGGCGGCGCACACGTCTGACCCCAGCCTCAGGAGGCCGGAGCTGAGCTCTGTGAACTGGAGCCAGCTGGGTCAAGGCCAGCCAGGGGTACAAGAGCAGAGCCTGGCCCAGTAAACCAACAGATGACAGGGACAGTCTGCAGGGAACAGCAGCTTTCCCTCTCCAGCCATGGCTGAGGGCCTCCCTCTGTGCTCCCCGCCAGGGCTCAGCCACAAGCTCTGCTCCCGCCCGTGGAAAAGCCTGGTCCCATACAGGAACCAGCGCCCGCCCAGGGCGCCCCCACGAGGCATGAGAGCTGGGGCACCCGGAGACCGGGACTCAGCTGGGCAGGCACTTGGGGGAGAGGAGACCCGACTTCTCCGCTGGGCTCGAGGCCAGGCAGAGCTAGAACGCAGCCGGCCACCGGGCACATTCCATGCCCTGCGCCCCCGGGCAGAGGCCCAGAAGGCCTGGCCGGCTTCCCTGGAGGCGGCGCTGGCCAGCGAGGCTCCCTGAGGGAAAGGGTTAAACGGGGGTGGAGGAGGCCGAGGTCGGGGCCCAGGCACGCACAGGGGTCACCCAGGCAGCCCTCTCGGGATGGGACGCTCCAGTCCCGGCAACCGGGTTTGCTCACTTATCCCCTGGGCCCTCTCTCACATGTAAGTGCACACCGTCCCAGCAGGGCGGGGCGGGGGCAGGGCACTCGGTCCAGAGTTGAGAGTGGGCGGAGCGCAGCATGAGTTCATCTGTTTCCTGCCGGCATCTGCTATAAAGCAGGGCTACGGCCCAGCGGAGCACAGCTGGAGCAGCTGCAGCCGGGCGGAGCGCAGCGCAGAGCGCACAGCTGGAGCAGCTGCCCGACGCCCACAGGACGCAGGCGAGAGCAGCCGACACAGGCCAGGAGCCCACCGCAGGCCAGGAGCCCACCGCAGGCCAGGAGCCCACCGCAGGCCAGGAGCCCACCGCAGGCCAGGAGCCCAGCACAGCTGAGGCGCCCAGAAAGCTCCAGGTGAGGGCCGGGGAGCACATTCCTCCCCCGAAGTCCCGGCCACCGCCCTCCTCCCCTCCCCTCCTCCTCTCTCTTCCACCGGCCATCCAGGACCGGGCGATGGGAAGGATGGTCGCACCTCCCTTCGGGCCCTGTGTCTCGGGAGCAAACGCCCTGTCTTCCGGGCCCTGTCCAGACAACCTCTCCCTGGCCAAGTTAGCAAAGGGACTTTACTTGGAAAAGAAAGAGCAGCCTTGAAAGCTGCATTCCTACCTGCGCGGGCGCTTTCCTGCGCCAGAGGTCAGGGTGGAGTGAGAGGTCAGCTTTCAGGGGCCGGCGCCCTCCGCCGCGGGTCCCAGAAGAGAACTCCCAAACGCCCTCACCCTCCGGCCCTCCCGGGGCCCCCAGAGGTCTTCGAGCTGCTGAGTGAAGGAGTGGACGCCCACAGGCGGCTTAGCGGGAAGCGGGAGTCAGGGTGGATTTTTAGGATTCGCACAGACCAGGCTGGCCTAGGCCAGGTCAGGCCTGTGGGCAGTGAGGCCTGCTGGAGAGGACGGAACCAGCACCCTGAGGTCAAGGCCAGCCTGGGTTCCATAGTGAGGCCGTCTGGGAAAAAGCAAAAGGAACATCTGGAGGACGAGGGGGTGAGCTCGGGACCCAAGAGCATCATGGCAGCTCGTTGAATGTGAGCTTGCGGACTGAGCTCTCGCAGGCCGGAGCACACACAGAGGGACAGGGCTGGCCCCTGTGGCAGGGTCCGGCCCCTCAGACTCTTCCGCTCACCGTAGGATGCAGCCGGCTCCAGCCCTCGCTTGCCTCGCCCTGGGCCTGGCCCTGGCCTTCGGGGAAGGGTCGGCTCTACGCCACGGAGAGCTCCGCACGGCGCATCAGGCCACCGACTTCGGAGTGAAGGTGTTCCAGCGTGTGCTCCAGGCCTCCCGGGACCGGAACGTGGTCTTCTCGCCCTATGGCGTGTCCTCCGTGATGGCCATGCTGCAGCTGACCACGGCCGGGAAAACCCTGCAGCAGATCCAGGATGCCATGGGCTTCAGCGTCAGCGGTGAGACAGGCAGAGGGAGGTGGGCAGAGGGGAGATGGGCAGAGGGCAGGTGGGCAGAGGGCAGGTGGGCAGAGGGGAGGTGGGCAGAGGG